GACACATTATCATGCTGGGAAATTATCCTGCTCCAAATGGTCACCAGTACTTTAAAATGTTGCCTTGCCTCTGTTCAGAGGGCGGCTTCTCAGTTCACCCAGGAGGGAGAGACCCTCAGAACTCTGCCAGTCATCTTCTCAGGGGAGCCTTTCCTGTCCTCACCTCCCTCGTCCCAGCAGCCTGGCTTGGCATTTCCAGAACTCCAGGGCTTAGCTCAGGCCCTGCAGGTGTGGTCTGTCTCCCTGCAATGACCCAGGAATTCCCTGAGGGCAGGGCTGGGTCTTCATCTCTCCACTGTCTGGCATCATCCTGGCAGGGATGGAACTCAACACATATTCCAGCCCCAGTCTCCCAAATGAATGAGCAAACCCTGAGTCTTGGTTCAAGGCTTGGTTCATGCAGCAGGCTCGTCCCTTCGCCCTGGGAAAGCTCCCAGATGAGCAGCATTGGGCAGAGGTGCAGGGTCCTCAGCCTCTGGCTTACCCCACTCTCTTCCATTCTACTCCACTCCACTCCTCTCCTCGATCCACCCCACCTCTGCTAGTTAGAGAAGCTCCTTGGAGATTCCTCTTGAATTTTCATTAATTTCTATTGAATAATTAAGACCGGGAAATTAATACTTTCATCCTAAACCCGAATTGCAGTGTGTGGTTTTTCATAATTATAATTCCACTGTAGCATTAAACTTTCAAGTGAGCCATCCCTCTCGAGGGGCAGAGGGAACAAAGAGCTATGTCCTGGGAGCTTAAACACAGTATTTGGCTCAGGATATGCATGCAGTAATTACTTTTTAATGGATGGATGGATACATGGGTGGGGGGAAACAAAGACCTTTTCAGGACCCAGAAACTGATACCCCAAAACATGGCGCTTTGACATGAGGTGGCCTCAAGGTCTCCCTGACCGCCCCCGCAGTCCTCTCTCTGTCTCAGAGCACAGGATGAAGCTGTTCTCTGAAGTTTCCTTATCTACCCAGAAACCAGACCTGCTAAAGAAGGATGCAATTGCCTTCCCTGAGGTGTTTGTTGTTGTTGTTGTTGTTGTTGTTTTTGAGACAGAGTCTCACTCTGTTGCCCAGGCTGAAGTGCAGTGACGCCATCTCAGCCACTGCAACCTCCGCCTCCCAGTCTCAAGCAATTCTCCTGCCTCAGCCTCCCAAGTAGCTGGGCCTACAGGCACCCACCACCACACCTGGCTAATTTTTGTATTTTTAGTAGAGACAGGGTTTCACCATGTTGGTCAGGTTGGTCTCAAACACCTGACCTCAAATGATCTGCCTGCCTTGGCCTCCCAAAGTACTGGGATTATAAGGGTGAGCCACCACGCCCAGCCACTTCCCTGAGTTTTCATTACTAACTCATATTGCAGGAAGAAAGACTGCAGTCTGTCAACACACCTAGGCAGACTTGTCACACTGCTCTGTGGGCCCAACAGACTCTGACCCAGGCCATTATATGTTCTCCAAGCCCACAGAATCCCCCTGAAAATCATTTACCCTCTTAAAACATCCCTCTTGAAATCATCCCCATTTTCCCACCTTCCTTTCCCCTATGATGAAAAGTCCGTAAGTATCTGTGCTGGACGCGGTAGCTCACGCCTATAATCCCAGCACTTTGGGAGGCCGAGGTGGGCGGATCACCTGAGGTCAGGAGTTCGAGACCAGCCTGGCCAACATGGCGAAACCCCGTCCCCACTAAAAATACAAAAATTAGCCGGGCATGGTGGCTTGGGAGGCTGAGGCAGGAGAATTGCTTGAACCTAGGAGGTGGAGGTTGCAGTGAGCCGAGATCGCACCATTGCACTCCAGCCTGGGGAACAAGAGTGAAACTCTGTCTCAAAATTTTTTTAAAAAAACGGTACATAAGTATCTGTAAGCCACCAAGTTACTGGATGATCATTCTACAATTCCCCCTTGCTATGCACATTACAACAAATTGTGAACGCCGTTTCGCCTATTAATTAATCTGCCTTTGGTCAACTGATTTTCAGAGAAGCTTCACCCCTACAAGCCCAACAGCCAAGACAGCTGTTTGAAAGCTTCTGAAATTAGGGCTGACACCACTACTTCCTGGGCTTTGTTTCTTTCATCAGGGAAATTGCAGGATACCAAGAGGCAGGAACCTGGCCAAAGAGGCTTTGCTGTTCCTGTATTCTTTTATTTTTGTTTTTATTTATTGTTTTTTTTGAGAAGGAGTCTTGCTCTGTTGCCCAGGCTGGAGTGCAGTGGTACAATCTTGGGTCACTGCAACCTCTGCCTCCCAGGTTCAAGTGATTCTCCTGCCTCAGCCTCCCAAGTAGCTGGGACTACAGGCCTGTGCCACCACGCCTGGCTAATATTTGTTTGTTTTCAGTACAGATGGGATTTCACCATGTTGGCCAGGCTGGTTTCAAACTCCTGACCTCAGGTGATCCACCCGCCTTGGCCTCCCAAGTGTTGGGATTACAGGCGTGAGCCACCATGCCTGGTCTTTGCTTTTCCTGTATTCCTATCCAGTGCCAGGCCACCTCACATCCAGGTGTTCCCTGCCCTGCGTCCAGCCTTGCCCGAAAGTGGGATTCCTCAAACATGGCATCTGTTCTGGGCCCTGGAACAGACTGACTGATGAGAAGAAGCAGAAAGGTTTAGTCTGCAGCCCACAGCCTGGACTCTCAGGGACAGCCGGGAGATTGTTCTTGCAGGTGTGGACACCCTTCTAATCCCGATTACTACCTCTCTCGATCCTGGCAGGAATTGGGGTTCCACCATGTCACCCTCGTGGAGCTTTCGTTAGCCTTATTTGGGATACCAAGGGATAAGCGTCCCCTGATTTTACAGAAAGATCAAGAGCCAGTGAATAGGGTTTCCCAGCAAGAGACATGGAGCAGGGCACCTGCAGACGGTCCACATGCTCGAGGCTGAAGACAGCTCGCCTCCGCGAGGGGCCCGCGCATATTTCCCCCAGGAGGAGGGAAGGACCCAATCATTATCCGGAGTCAATGGTGAGTCCCAGACTCATGTTGTGGGTTGGGGGCAGCAGTGGTTTCTAAGGGGGTCTCCACAGCCAGGGCAGCAGGGAGAGAAGCCGGTGGGAAAGAGATGGGAAATGAGTAGGATACAGCCTGTAAGGTGAAGCTGCTTCCCAGGCCCACCCTGGGGGCTTCTGAGAGATGAGAGATGTGGCGGGAGGGGCTCTCCAGGCTTATCCCTTGTGTAAGTCGGGATGCCCAGGCTTTTGTTTGTTTGTTTGTTTTTGAGGTGGAGTTTTGCTCTTATTGCCCAGGCTGGAGTGCAATGGCGCAATTTCGGCTCACTGCAACCTCTGCCTCCTGGGTCAAGTGATTCTCCTGCCTCAGCCTCTCAAGTAGCTGGGATTACAGGCTTGTGCCACCAAGCCGGCTAATTTGTATTTTCAGTAGAGACAGGGTTTCTCCGTGTTGGTCAGGCTGGTCTCAACCTCCTGACCTTAGGTGATCCACCCGCCTCAACCTCCCAAAGTGCTGGGATTATAGGCGTGAGCCACCATGCCTGGCCAGGCTTTTCAGGTCAGTGCTCCCACCTGGCCAATCAGAAGCCCCCAGGAGCCGCATACCTCACCACCAGCCATCTAAGCGCCTCTCCGTGGTGGGGCCCTCCCTATAGACACTGAGCTTTTTGAGGATGAGGATGGCTATGTTTACCACTATATCTCGAGGGTCAAGTCCAGGGCCACCCACAGGGCTGCAGTTCAGCAACTCTTACAGAGAATGGGTCTGATCCTCACTCTACCCTCTCTGCTCTGCTCCACCCACGCTAGCCTCTTTCCTCCATCTTGCACCTGCCTCAGGGCCTTTGCACAGGCTGTTCCTGCTACCTGGATGCTCGTCCCTTTAGCTCACTCCGTCACTTCCTGCCCAAATGTCATGTCCTTGAGATCTCCCTAGAAACCCAGGACTACCTTCCCACCTTCCACACTCCCTCGCCCTCTTGCTATGAGTTTCTCTATGACATGTATTAAATATTTGTTTATTGTCTGTCTTCTGCCAACTGCATTATAAGCTCCCCAAGAGCAGGTGCCTTCTTTCGTGCACAGCTGTATCTCCAGAGTGGTGCTTGCAGGCAGCAGCTTCTCAATAAACTCTTGATAAATGAATGAATGAATGAATGAATGAATGAATCACCATCCCTGGCCAGAGAAGGAGCACAGGGCACTGGGCCTAACAGGGGAAACCTGTTCCCTTTAGACTCAGCTGGCATGCAGGGGCCAAGTGGCCTGAGGTTGGCACCAGGGATTTCATCCTCTCCCTCTGTAGCAAACGGTCACCTGCTTCCAGGCCACCCTGTTCCCTCCCTGCTGGTGGCCATGGCTGCACCAGCCCTCTCAGACTGAAGACCCACTCTGATCTTTGGGACCACACTCCTCCAGGTCCTCCCCACGGTTTCTGGCTGTACCCTCACTCTCAGGACCAACCTCCCCTCCTCCTCCCATCATCTCAGGCTCCATCTGCAAAGGTGGAATCAGAGAGAGGCCCAGACTGTACTGGGCAACCAAGCCAGTGTTCCATTTCAAATTGACGTTTAAAAGATGCCACTTTTAATTATGCTTGAGTGCAGTGTACCCTGAGGCCTTTTGTGGTAAATGGCTCTCAATAAACCCAGTTTATTCATTAATTATTATGAATTATTTTCTTAAGTAGTGGCAAGGGGAGGCAGGGCCACTCTCAGACCGCAAGTCGCACGTTGACTGTCAAATCCTCGATGAGCAGGCTCGGAGGAGCTGCCTGTGCTGGCTTCAACCAGCTCGCCTGGCCCCGGGCTGGGGTGCAGGAGACTCTGGACTGAGGCGGGGCTTCCAGAGTGTGGGGCAGGGCTGAGGGAAAGGAGGGCCTGGAGGAGCCATGGGCCACACCAGACAAAAATACCTTCCACCAGGGTGGCACTTCAGCTTTGGGAAGCTCCTTCACTGGATAATGAAGACTTCTGTCTTCGGCAAAGCGGGGAAGAGAAGAGAATTACCATTACCACCAGCCAAGGCACCTGACACGTGTGGTCAGTGGTGAACTGGTAAGCTCGCTCTCCAGAAACAAAACAATCATCCAACATTTCTTTCTTCTTCTTTTTTTTTTTTTGAGACGGGGTCTCGCTCTGTTACCCAGGCTGGAGTGCAGGAGCGCGATCTCGGCTCACTGCAGCCTCAACCTCCCAGGCTCAAGTGATCTTCCCACCTCAGCCTCCTAAGTACCTGGGACTACAGGCGCAGCACCACCACACCTGCCTAATTTTTGTAATTTTGTTTGTAGAGATGGGGTTTCGCCATGTTGCCCAAGCTGGTCTCGAACTCCTGAGCTCAAGTGATCCTCCCACCTCGATCTCCCAAAGTGTTGGGATTACAGGCCACTGCACCTGGCCTACCAATTCATTATTCATGGTTCTGTAATATTCCACTGTAGGGGCGTACAGGTCCCTTCACTTACCAGCTCCTCACTACTGGGCCATTCCCCACTTTTCATTATTCTAAACAAATCTGATGAACAGGCTTTTGCATAAATATCTACCCATACCCTCATTCACTTACCTCGATGACATTTTTTTTTTTTTTTTTTTTTTTTTTTTGAGACAGAGTCTTGCTCCGTCGCCCAGGCTGGAGTGCAGTGGCCAGATCTCAGCTCATTGCAAGCTCCGCCTCCCAGGTTTACGCCATTCTCCTGCCTCAGCCTCCCGAGTAGCTGGGACTACAGGCGCCCGCCACCTCGCCTGGCTGGTTTTTTGTATTTTTTTAGTAGAGACGGGGTTTCACCGTGTTAGCCAGGATGGTCTCGATCTCCTGACCTCGAGATCCACCTGCCTCGGCCTCCCAAAGTGCTGGGATTACAGGTTTGAGCCACCACGCCCGGCCCCTCAGTGACATTTCTAAAGGTGAAATTACCTGATCATAGGATATGTGTTTTTAAGGCTTTGATGCACATTACTTAACTAACCTCGGGAAGAATGGTGATAAATTATACCCCAAAGTCAGCACTTTGGGAGGCCGAGATGGGCGGATGACATGAGGTCAGGAGTTGGAGACCAGCCTGGCCAACATGGTGAAACCCCGTCTCTACTAAAAATACAAAAATTAGCGGGTGTGGTGGCAGGTGCCTGTAATCCCAGCTACTAGGGAGGCTGAGGCAAGAGAATCGCTTGAACCCAGAAGGCGGAGGCTGCAGTGAGCCAAGATCACACCACTGCACTCCAGCCTGGGCAAAAGAGTAAGACTTGGTCTCAAAAAAATATATATATAGATAGATAGATAGATATAGGTATATATATAGATATATAGGTATATATATATAGGTATATATATATATAGATATAGGTGTGTGTATATATATAGGGGTGTGTGTGTGTGTGTGTGTATATATATGCCCCAAGGATAGCTGTGTATAAGGGATCACAATGATCTTTATATACAAAATCTAGAACAAGAAAAAATGCAAATAAGAAATAACAAGTCCTGATTTCTAGTGCTTGCCAGTTTCCATGGTGTAATACTCCCACCCTGGCCAGTCTGGAGATACTAACAATTTAACAACTGGCTTGCAAAATTCCTGAAAATCTAACAACCATCTCTGGAAGCTCATGGGAGCTGACCCCAGCACCTTTGTGTGTGTGATGAGATTTACTCCTTCCCTGAAAGGAGGTCATGGTGAGTAATTTTATCTGTCAACTTGACTGGGCCATGGGGTACTTAGGTACTGGTCAAACATTCTGGGTGTTTCTCTGAGAGTGTTTCTGGATGAGATTAACATTTGAAGGCCTGGTGCAGTGGCTTATGCCTGTAATCCCAGCACTTTGGGAGGCCAAGGTGGCCAGATCGCTTGAGCTCAGGAGTTCGAGACCAGTCTGGGCAACACAACAAAACCCCATTTCTACTAAAAATATAACAATTAGCTGGGCATGGAGGCACATACCTGTAGTCCCAGCTACCTGGGAGGCTAAGGTGGGAGGATCACTTGAGCCTAGGAAGTTGAGGCTGCAGTAAGCTGTGCTCATACCAGTGCACTCCAACCTGGGCAACAGAATGAGACCCTCTCTCCAAAAAAAAAATAGAAAGAAAGAGGGAGGCAGGAGGAGAGTCAGCATCAGAGGGATGAGATATACAGGAAGGACTTGACTGGTCATTGCTGGTTCTAAAGATGCAGGAAGGGATCAAGAACCAGGGAGTGCAGGCAGCCTCTAGAAAACAGAAGAGGAAGAAAATGGATTCTGCTACAGCCTCCAAGAGGGATGCAGGCAGCCCTGCTGACACATTGATTTTAGCCCAGTGAGGGCCATTCCAGACTTCTGATGTTCAGGACTGTAAGATATATTGTGTTATTTTATGCCACTAAATTTGTGGCCATTTGTTTCCAACACAGTGGTATTTAACCAGGTGATGGAACAAAATTTCAAAGACGTAAACTCTGTGGGTCACAGCTAGTGATGGGGCCCAAAACAGGGTTTGACCCCGGGGCTGTCTGACTCCATGGCCTATGTTCTTTATTATATCCCAGGAGAGAAGTCACTCTTTACATGAAAGCACCTCTGGGAAGGTTAACAACTTCGTCCTATGTCAGGCACGGGAACTGGGCAGCCTTTCTTTATGAAACACCAGAAAATAAAAGAAACCGGCCGGGCGCGGTGGCTCTGTCACCCTAGCACTTTGGGAGGCCAAGGCCAAGATCACTTGAGGTCAGGAGTGCGAGATCAGCCTGGCCGGCATGGCGAAACCCTATCCCTACTAAAAATACAAAAAAATAGCCAGGAGTGGTGGGCGCCTGTAACTCCAGCTACGTGAGAGGCTGAGGCGGGAGAATTGCTTGAACCCAGGAGGTGGAGGCTGCAGTGATCCAGGATCGCGCCACTGCACTCCAGCCTGGGTGACAGAGCATGAGACTCAGTCAAGAGAAGAGAAGAGAAAAGCAGAGGGGAGAGAAGCGGAGAAGAAGAGAAAGGAAAAGAAAGAAGAGAAAGGAAAGGAAAATGCAAAGAAAAGGAAAGGAACCACCACAAGCAACCACATCCAGCTTAAGGCAGAGATGAGCTTGCAGGAAGGAGGGGAAGCCCAAGGGCCAGAGTGAACCAGGAGCTGAAAACCAGATGGTGGCCGTGTGAGTGTGGCCTGCGCGGGCCGAGGGTTCCCGGTCCTGGGGTCCAGGGCTTGGACTCTGACTCCTCTATGGAGATGAGAGGTGTGGCCTTGGGGATGGACATGCAGAATCGAGAGCCCTGCGGAAAGCCAGGCCCCTTCAGGACTGCGGCCTCTGTGGAAGGACAGAGCGAAAACACCCATCCCCAGCACGGTGAGATGGGGAGGGGGGTCTGTCATTGGGAAAAGGAAGATTGAAGATATTGGCAGAGCGGTCTCCAGAACTGATGAAAACCAGGCACCAGCAGATTCAAGAAGCCCGCTTGAGTCCCCAGCAGGTCCCAGCCCTGGACACAAGGGCTCGGGACTCAGCCACTAGACAGGAGACTGTACCCTCCAGGCCTAGTGCCTTACCCAGCACTGCCCCTGGGAGAATGTTTGCTGAACGGATGGTGATGGGGAGAGGGAAAAGAGAGGGGAAAGTGAGGGTGTCTAAATCTGGCTTGAGACAAGGCTGGGGGATTCATAGTCTCTACCCACCCTCCACCTTCAGAGGTCCAAGGATTGGGTGGGCACCAGCATGGGGCTGGGGGAGCCATGGGGGCCAGGGGTATCTTCTGTGGGCCCAAGGAGCCCTCCCAGGGCTGAGACCCCAGCCTGGAACTCTCCCAGCACTCCAAAAGCCCAATCCCACCCAGCTCTGGGCTACTCCATGGGGTCCCAGGCTGGAGAAGACCCCGGCAAAGGTTCTCTAGGGAAGAGGCGGCTGGTGGTCAGGCCTGGGCAGCTGTGAGAGCTGAGAGTTGAATGGGGAGAAAGTGCTCTGTTGGCTTCACGCCCCAACATCAGGGGGAACCAGCTGCACCGTTTCCCCAGAATCATGGTCTCTTGAGCCCAATATTCAAATATATGCAGACATCGGAGCCTGGACTATTTTTAGCTGAGACTCGGAGATGATCTCAGGCTGACTCGAGTGAGAGGGGCCAGTCCCAGAGGAGCGCAGAATCAACCTGAAAAGTCCAGCTTGAGGACCACCCCCGTCTCCTGCTGTAAGCACCTGGATTCTGCACCCCAGGTGCCCTGAAGGTCTGTGTTGTGGGTGTTTATTTGGGGCGGGGGGACTCGTCTGGATCCCTGGGGGGCTGCGTTCTTTTTCCTTCGAGGCTTTTCTTCAGCAAACACTTTGCTTTTCTGCAAAAAGATAAAGCGGGCTGCACACTGGAGCCAGCAGCCTGACCGGGGGGCCGTTTAACTCCTGAGTCAGGACGCGTGGCTCGGCCTCTGTTATTATCTTCAAAGGCAGAAGTCTAACCCTTCTGTATGTGCCTCCCTGGGCTGTTATAATAACTTACCACAGCTGTGGCTTAAAACCACAGGAGCCTATTTCCTCACAGTTCTGGAGGCCCGAAGTCCAGCATCAGGGTGCCAGCAGGGCCGTGTTCGCTCTGAAGGCGCTAGAGAAGGGTCCTTCTTTGCCCTCCCAGCTTCCGGCGGTCACCAGCCGTCCTTAGTATTTGCTGGGGCAGCTGCATGCCTCTGATCTCTGCCTCTGTCTTCACAGGGATTTCTCCCTGTGTGTCCCTGGGTCCTCTTCTGATAAGGACACCAGTCATCGGACTTAGGACCCGTGCTAATCCAGTCTGGCCTCCTCTCAAATTGATGAACATCTGGAAACACCCTATTTCCAAGTAAGATCCTATTCACAGGTACCAGGGGTGCCTTCAATGCATCTTTTGCGGGGGAACATAATTCAACCCACAGCATCTTCTGCGTTGTTCTGCCCGAGGACAGCCACCCCTCCAGCAGCTGCGGTGAGGAGAAGGCCCCCCAGGTTTGGGGTTTCTAATCTTGGGTGGCAGCAGGCTGGGAACCGGGGACCACTTGAGCCTTACTGTGCTCTCCTGCCAGGAGGGGTGGCAGCTCCTTGCCCTGGAGACAGTGCGGCCCCCGAGAGCAGCTGAGTGCCTTGCAGTCATCAACAGCCACCTCATCTCAGAGGCAGCACCTGGAATCTTACCTGCCTTACCTCCTTTAGTCCTCAAAACACCTGTGTCCCAGGATGATGTCCCTTATTCTACAGAGGAGGAAGCTGAAGTGCAAACTAAGAGGAAGTTCTGCAGCAGCAGGTTGGGTGCCGGGTGCCAGCCCGGCGAGGAGCTCGGTGCTGTTGCGAGGACTGTGACAGGGCTTTCACCCCATCTTCCCTTCTGAGCCGGGCTTGTCGGGATGGGGTGGCGGGGTTTGCACCTGCACAGCCAAGAGGGAGCAGGGCAGCCTCTCCCTAGCACAGTCCTGAAAAGAGGACCCCGCCCCCATTAAGGGAATGCATTGATCCCTTTTAGAGAGTGCTAGGCCAATACATGGAGGAGTCAGTGTGGCCAGGCAGAAAGGGGTGGATAAACCTAAACCCTGCGGACCTCTTTTTTGAGACCCCAACCTGCTCTTGACCCCCAGAGGTCAGATCTTCCCCAGGGGAGGGCATGGGAAGGTGGGATTAGGGAACATACGGAGTCTTTGGGAGCCTTCTAAGTCAGCCAAGGGAGTTGGGGCAGCCACAGGGCCAGAGCACAGGGAAGGCAGGTCCACCAGGTCTAGCTGCTCGGCCTCCAGCCCCGCCAGGCCCAGTTAAGAGGGTGCCTTGGCTGCCAAGAGAAGAACCCAGGGTAGGGACTGCCTCCTGGACCTCCACAGGCAGCTGGCCTCCTACAGGCCTGCTGGGAGCTGGGACCCTGTCCCCTCTGCTGCCCTCCAGCTTTCCTGGCTCTGGGGGACGGAACTTGTTACCAGCCTCCCACTCATATTCTTACTCCTGCCCTTGAACTTCAGGACTGTCTTGGAGCCAGCCGAGGCCTGTCTGCATCCTTTGCCCCCAGGTCCAGCTGGACCCCCCACCTTTTCCTCTTGACCCTGGGCTGCAAGAGAAGTTGCGTCAGCCCACGTGCTGGGGCTGGAGGCCAAGGCTTCAAATGAGGCCTCCCCGAGTTGGTACTCAACCTCCTCTCCCTCCTTGGAGGGCAGAGCCACGAGGGCTGCAGAGGAGCTTGCCAGGTATGATGGGTGAGTGCAGTGGTTCACAGCGGAACCACATCAGACACACACAGGAGTGCTTTATGAAACTCGGATGCCTAGCTGGGTGCGGCGGCTCAGCCTGTAATCCCAGCACTTGGGGAGGCTGAGGTGGGAGGATCGCTTGAGCCTAGGAGTTTGACACAAGTCTACGCAACATAGTGAGACCCCCCCCTCCACCACCCATCTCTATAAAAAAAAATTAGCCAGGTTTGGTGACACTCGCCTGTGGCCCCAGCTACTCAGGAGGCTGAAGAGGGAAGATTGCTTGAGCCCAGAAGTTTGAGAGCTCCAGCCTGGGTGACAGAGTGAGACCCTGACTCTAAGAAATTTTTTTTTTTTTTTTTTAGATGGAGTCTCAACCTCCACCTCCTAGGCTCAAGTGATTTTCCGGTAAACCTAGGCATGGCCATGTGACTAAGCTCTGGCCAATGCAGCACAATCAGAATTGGCATGAGCTGACTCCCCCGCTCTCCTTTTTCTCTTTTTTTTTTTGAGACGGAGTCTCGCTCTGTTACCCAGGCTGGAGTGCAGTGGCACGATCTCGGCTCACTGCAAGCTGAGCCACCGTGCCTGGCCCTGCCTAGATATTTTGGTTTTTGGCTTAATTGGCTCCTCAGGTGAGTCCACAGGCTGAGGGACTTCATCACACCTGTTTCCTCACCTGTGCGTGGGGAGGGGTGGTCACCTGGCAGGGTGGTGCTGAGGCCAGCTCGTGCCTGCCCTTCCCTCCACTGTTCAGAGTTGGGCCAGGGCTGAAGGAGGCGTGGCCAACTTCAGAGGCAGGCATGGGAGCCGCAGCTCTGCCTGGCACTGACATCCGGGCTGCAAATTCGTTCTGATTCTCAACTTCTCTCCCTCTACTGCCAGCCAGCCCCTCCAGCTTCATTTAAAAGTTCAGACAGGATTCAAAAGTAGGCTGATATACAGAGACCTATTAAAACTCAGCAATAAGAAAACAACTCAATTAAAAAATGGGCAAAAGACCTGAACAGACACCTCGCCAAAGACGATACACAGATGGCAAATAAATATATATGTCACATCATATGTCATCAGGGAAATGCAAATTAAAACAGCAATGTGATACCACTGCACATCTATCAGAATGGCCCAAATCCAAAACACTGACAACCCCAAAGGCTGGTGAGGCTGTGGAACAACAGGAATTCTCATTCAGGGCTGGTCATACCAAACGCTGCAGCCATTTTGGAAGACAGCTTGGCAGTTTCTTACAAAGCTAAACGTACTTTGACCATATGATCCGGCAATCGTGTTCCTTGGCATTTACCTGGATTAGTTGGAAATTGTGTCCAGGAGCTTCTGGACAGCTGCACATGTGGAGGTTCCTGGAAGGTGGCCATCCAGGGAGGGCATGGAAGTTCCACGTCCTCCGCCCCCCTCATACCTCGCCCTACACATCTCTTCATCTGTATCCTCTGCAAAATCCTTTACAATAAACCGGTAAACCTAGGCATGGCCATGTGACTAAGCTCTGACCCCAACCTGCTCTTGACCCCCAGAGGTCAGATCTTCCCCAGGGGAGGGCCTGGGAAGGTGGGATTAGGGAACATACGGAGTCTTTGGGAGCCTTCTAAGTCAGCCAAGGGAGTTGGGGCAGCCACAGGGCCAGAGCACAGGGAAGTCTCGCTTGTTACCCCAGGGCATGGAAAGTGCAGTGGCAACGATTCTCGGTCACCTGCAGCTCCCGCCTCCCTGGTTCACGCCATTCCTCCTGCCTCAGGCCTCCCGAGTAGCTGGGACTACAGGTGCCCGCCCTCCACCCGGCTAGTTTTCTGTATTTTTTTTAGTAGAACGGGGTTTCCAACCGTGTTAACCAGGATGGTCTCTGATCTCTTGACCTCGGTTGATCCGCGCCCGTCTCGGCCAGTCACAAAAGTGCTGGGATTACAGGCCTTGAGCCACCGCCCCGGCCTTCCTTTTTCTCTTTCGTTGGATGGAATGAGGCCCTTTAGAAGGGAGCCATCTTGGACCAGATGAGGGCAAGAGTCCAGAATGCTGGAAGACAAAGATGCATCTTTGGCAGATGATATTTTCCAACGATAGAGGCAACACTATAATCCCATTCCACGAGCCGCTTCCTCTACTGTGACTTTGACACCCCTCCCATTGAGAGGGTGGCATCTATGTTTCCTCCTCACGAACTGTAGCAGGAGGGGCTTTGTGACGTCCCCTCACCAATAGAGAATGCCACATCGACAGCGTGTGGCTTCCAAGGCTAGTTAAAAGAAAAAAAATGCCCTTTCACTTCCACCTTGTTCTCCTGGGACGTTTCACTCTGGGAACCCAGCCACCATGCCTGCACAGGAAGCACAAGAGTCCTGGGAAAGGCCCCACGTGGATGGGAACCATGGGCCCCAGCCCAAATCCCCTGCTGAGCTCCCCAGCTGACAGCACCAACGG